AGGTCGTCCTGGCCATTGTATCGGCATGGTGTGGTGATTGACACTAGCACAACGACACAAGGCGCAACTAGCTCACAGTAAAGTCTTTGGTGCTCGCAAGCACGTGTGGCTGCTCTGTGTAGGCTAGACAAGTCTTTAGAGCTTCGAGTACATCAGATTGAAGTGATATTGAACGCTCAGCGGGTGATTTTCTCCAAAAAAAATGACGCTGCACACTGTCACGCTTGTATCTCCAGCACCAAAACGAGTTCAGAGAAACGTCGACTAGCCAATCAAAGACGAGATCTCTGGCTTTCAAATGCACCAATCACATCCATTAAACTAAAAAAACACACGAATGGCGTCACACTGAAGCAAATGGGACTCTTTTCATGGACCAGAGTGGTAATAGAAGTACGTACAGACTGTAAACTGTAAGTAAGCAAAACCATCATACATATTTGAAGTTAACGTAAACTCCGTTCACCATAAACCGTCCATCCATTTTGTCTTCATTTGAGTGGAAATTCAAGTAAATGAACGATTTGAGTGGAAATCAAAGTACAGTACTTAAGGGTGCGTCTGGTAACATTTCAAAAATAATACTTCGATGTATACAATTTTCTCGCAAATTGGGATTAATCAAATTGCCATTTTCAAAATGGAGGTAAAAGGTCCATTTTGTAATAACGTTATGGCGTTTTGGACCTCTTCATCGAGTAGTACTACGTAGTAAATCCCACGTGGAATTATTGGATTTGGGTTGAAACTCTTCAAAACTTACTAGTAGTACTACACCTTTTCCCGATCAAACTGGCAGTTTGTTCCAATCAAAGTGGCCATATAAAATATAGAACGTTTGAAACAAATACAATTGATACAATAAACATACAATATTCCATTCAAAGTGGTTTTTGTAACATTCAATGTGGCACAAATCACTTCCCATAGTTCAGCACCTTCTCGATATTGCGCTGGCAAAACATCGCTTCGCGGATCACCAAGGATTGAGTAATGCGCGGGAGGCTTTCAGTGGCAGATTCTTCAAGCTATCGCATACGACTTTCCAAGTAGAAATTAAAGTCCCTACGGTCAAAAAGCAAATTGGTGCGTTCCGCGAGATAGCCCTTAATCTTCGCCTTCAAAACGCTAAAGCAACTTTTGATAGGATTTAGCATTGGCAAATATGGCCCTAGGCGAGCAGAACCAAGTCGTCGTGCGAAGCAACTCGTTGCTCCGTCTGCGAATGGGCCGGGGCGTTGTCCAACACAATCACCACCTTCTTGCCGACAAAACTGGCCGTGTAGGCCTCCGACGCTTTTGCCGCTCGGTAAAATTCTTCCACAAACTGTGCGTTCTTGTCCATTTTGATACTACCCCGCTCCAAACGATGGCTAACAATGCCGATTTCGGCAGACACGGCACACTGAACTTGCAGGTTCGGGCCTTTCGATGGCGGCAGCACAATGGTCGCCCGAGTCCTTTGTTTGGAGCGTCCAACCGACCGATGACAGTAAATGTTGAAGTTCGTCTCGTCGTAGTACACAATGAAGTCCCCATTTCGCTGGTATTCGACAAATGCTGCTGCAAACTCCTTGCGCTTGACCTTGTTTTCGTCGCTGTTGCATGTCGTTGGCTCAATGCGCACTTGTTTGACCGTATACAGCATCCCGAGTAGATGTCGACTGATCTTCTGCACAGTCGGAGTATGCTGCGAGGACTCGTTTGTTCTCTTCTGTGGTCGATGCCGAGCGTTTGCCATCTGCACTCATGCGTTGCGGGCAGGGATGAACAGAAATATACTCGATGTGAATTATTATTTTATTTTTGAGAAAAATATATTTATTCTCCTTTATACCAAATCGAATTATCTATTCACAAAACCTAAATAATTCCCGATCAGGTGTGATTTGAAATGTCATTGCTTTCGTGGTGAACAATTGGTAGATACGAACCATATTCAGATGTTAAACTACCAATAGGA